ACGCATTTGGTCAGCTTGGAGGTGTTCGGCGGGGCGTGGCATTTTCAGAGGGGCTGGATGTGCACGGGTGGGAGGGAGGGGGAGAAGGGGGCGGCGGAGATATGGTGGTTGATTTTGTTTGCTTTGAATTGGGGGGCTGGGGGTGGTGTTGGGGTGCAACGCTGGTTGGTGGTGGCCTGTACAGTACTACTGTATGTGTGCTGACAGTAGGGGTTGTGTACGGTGGGCAGTAAAGTTTCTCTTTTCACATCAACAAAATGGTATCTGGTGTCTATCCGACCATTGTCCTCATATGAGGGCAATATTCGACGTATTGAATTCTTGACTTGCGCTTCCTCGACAAGAAAGAAAAAGATGCCCGTGGCACCGTACTTGACTTGTCACTTGGGGCCAGAAAGAAGTTTGTGAGAATTGCTTGTTCTTCCCGGTTGTTTTTAGATATGTCCGAAATAGAAGCCTTGTTAAACCATCTTAAAACGGCATGTAAAATAACTCGGAAACCAAAAACGCCAGTTTAAAAGGGTGCGCATTCAAAGCTGCTACAGTATCCCGGTGTTAGTGTTCTGCAAGATTCTACAGTACTGCCGAAAACAAGCACGTTAAGGAAATACACCCCAGTACTGTATTTAGTGTAACACATACTATTTCTCAGGCCCTGATTTGGGGACGGTCCGTACCAATTAGTGCCACACACATTATTTGTGGGCATACACTATTACAGGAGCCGGGGTATTTATTAGGGTAACTAATTATTTGTGGGCATACACTATTACAGGAGCCGGGGTATTTATTAGGGTAACTAATTATTTGTGGGCATACACTATTATAGGAGCCGGGGTATTTATTAGGGTAACTATACGTACAGTTGTAAAATCGTTGCTTGTCATACCAACAGAGAGCGTATGTTGGTATGGCTGACTCCCTTCTGTCTACAGTAGGTCTTGAGAGCAGTCACGGTCCACCACATCAGATATGATGTGGGCAGTGGAAAACAGAATGTCTACGAAATGACGTTTTCAATTGCATTTGCTTTAAATGATATCGCATATACAGCATAACCTCGTAAATCACTACAAACTGCCGAACTCGGCCTTCACTACAGTAATCCTTTCAGTTCCTCAGATATGCGACAAAAGTGAAGTTACAGCTCTTCCTCATCAGACATAGCACCTGCCCCTTGCGCAAATGACCTGCTGGGCAACCTTTGCTCGATACGCGCACGCCTGCAAACCCGGTAGCGCTCCTGAACACGGCGCCGTTTCACAGCTGTACTTTGCATTATGTGAAAACGCCTGTTAAAAATTTGCCTCCGCCTTGCACCATCTTCTTCTCTAAGCAGGTGATGAAGCACATGCGCGTTCGTCAAGGCCAATGTGAATTGAAAAAACATGTTGTAGTTAGACTCAGCCCACCTCCACTTGTTCGCCATTAGAACCCAAAGTGTGCACTGTCGACCAAAATAGTTTTCGACAATAATGCGGTCGGACGAAATTTCTCGGTTACCATGGACCTCTTCCTTTGTCAACTCTCGACCCCTTGGCTTCTTGACAGGAATGATAGCGCGTACCTCCCGAGCAGCCCCCTGATAGCCCTTGTCCATCAGTACAGCCCAATATCTGGGAAACCGCTGGACTAGAGGTCCAACATCAGTCACAGTGCGCTCTGTCTGAGCTTTGCGGAGTTCCAACTTGTGCCACTCGAGGTTATCATAAAATATATCGACATCGGCGACTGATCCCATAAAATGTCTACTTGCCCCAATGGCTAGACCATTTGGCAACACACTCACCTCGGTCTTATACCCGTACATTTTGTGTTTTCCACTAAAATGACCTTTGGCTTCCTCGTGATTTCCGCGTGGACGGTTGCTTTGGTGAAACGTCACGTCCGTGGCATACCTCGCCATGCCGTATACACGAAAGTGTGACTGATCCTCAAAAATTCGTGACATTGTGAATTTATCTGCAGCGCGCTCGACGTACGTTTTATACGCAAAGGGGGTGACCATGCGGATAAAACTCGTGACCAACCTCTCGAAGGACGTGCTCTTCATGTTGAACATCTTGGCTGCAAAGTCCCACATGGTCCCGTTTTTGCACACGCATAACGCCATAAACAAAACATCCTTGGCCTTATATTTCGAACGTTTACCACGACCGACGTTGTAGTGTTGGGCTATAAAGGGGCGAAGACGGTCATAAAGCCCTCGATACTCCGCCAGTGTAAAGTTCGTCATCTGTAGCACTGCGATTTCCCCCCCGTCCGCAACGAAAGAGTCAAGAATTGGTCAATCTGAGTCAGTCTCTTCATCGCTGTCAATTTCCGCAGCGTCATAATCGTACTGGTTGAGCTCGTTGCTCCGCTCTGCAGCCAATTCCGCAAGAAGCCGAAGCGCGTCTCCAGGTGATGTGTCGACGTTGTGGCTCATCGTGCGGTGTTGGATCTCGAGACTGCTTGAAGGCGAAAGTGGTACTGTACTGCACATGACTCTTATTGCGAAAAGGATTAGGCGGGTTCTGTGATTTTTTTTGAAAATGGGCGGGAAGAGAAATCGCGCATGCACTTCGGACATGCTGTCAAATTCGTGGTCTATGACTGTCTGGGCAATACGTATCTATTTTGAGAGGTTACAGCGCTGTCAAAAGATCGCGGACAATATCATCTGTTTGTCAATCTTTAGTGTAATGATACAGTTTCTCAGTAATTGTCTAATATTTGGGGTGGTGTTTAGCGCTCAACAGGTACAGCAAGGACTCAACGGAGAACAGGTAATCACTGTGCAAAAGGTGCATGCCTACTGAAAAGGTCTAGTAAGGCTGGTGGTGTCTGTGGTCGTTGCGATGTATTCAGCACTTGGCTGGCGTGT